CAGGGATTTCCTGAAGGAGGGGAGTCCTGGACTCTTGATCTTTACTTTCAGAGAACTGTTCCTGTATACTATATAAAGAAGTCTACAAGCAAACAGAAACAAAACCCAACCCAAAACCAAAAAGCATTCCACATTCTACACACCTTAATATCTCCAAAAAGATTCACACACTGCATCTAACAGCGTTTCTGCACTGCTCTAACCTGTAGTGGAGATAAACAAATCTGTGAACAGTTTGCATAGTGATGGATTTTAGAAAGGCTAAGCAACTCTCAAAGAAAACAATAAAAGTCTGCTAGGTTTCCATGGCTAATTCCTTTCAGGAATTTATAAAGTTGTTTATCTTAAATTGCCCCATACAGGAAGAAGCAGAAAAAATGTCACTAACAATGTCAGAAACAAGAACTCTGATTCAAGTATTTCAACCCTCCTCAAAGCAGATACGCACACAGTTCAAACAGGAATTTCAAACCAGGTTTTGTTAATAACATTGGAAGTGTACTTAGTCCAAAATCCTGTACTGCAATACCGGGAGAAAGTCCTTAAAAAGCCCTAGTATATGAAAAGTGAATTCAAGGAAATGAGCTTCGCAAGTAGCAGTGTAATTGCTTATACTCTTTTTTTAAACCTACTTGTTTCCAGCTATAAAGTCACCACGAGCTTCTCCACCATCTCCGAGCTCTGGTTTCAGGACTCCTTCAAACATACTACCCATTGATTTCCCTCCCAATCTTTACATATCTCCCACTCTCTATGCAATACAGTGACTCTGCCACACCAGTATCTGAGCATGTTTTCGATGCTTTATGGGGTTCCCCTTAGCTGCCTCTACCTGACCTCTTTCTTTTAAAGCAAAATGATGCAAGTGGAGTCAGTACCAAGAACTGCACCTCTTGGGTCTACTCAGACTGCTGGTTAATCCATCAAGTGATGAGCTTACAGAAAATGTTCAGGTCCCAGGAGGCACTAGGAACCAGGCACCACCATCCTTCCTCAGGATCTCATCATCAATAAGCAAAAGGCTTAAGTAGAAGCCAATAAAACCCAACCAAAAAGTTACCAGAAGATGTTATAAATGCACCAAGCATCAGCACTACATCAGTATCCACAGGAAGCTTCCATACATTCTCTTGTCCATAGGAGTATTTCAGCTGTACAATGCTTAGCTCACCTACACTGTACAACAAATTAACCCATTTGAAAACAGTGTCAGCTTCCTTTCTTGAACTTCTGACAGCAAGGACCCAACTGCTACTACCACATGAAACAAACCCACTACCACTATATACAATTATTCTGTGATGTTCAGAACACTTATAGAAAAAAAAAAAGACAACAACCAAAAAGCTATTTCCTGCTTTAAAAACTCAAAATGAAGTTGACAGCACTCAGTCATACTTCAAACAGAAAAGAAGCATTTGTCAAAGCATGCAAAAGTCAAAGCATGAGAGTGGTGTAAAATGTCAGTAAATCCAGTATATGAGCAGAGCCCAGAAGGAGGGAACAGAAGGGGATTGATCAGCTTTAGCAGAGATGATACAGTCCAAATCTGGGACATCCAGCATATCCAGGAGACATGCAGCAATAATCCTCCTCTCAACATTTTGCTTGTCCTTCAAACAGCCAAGACTCAGCTTCATGCTGCCTGACAGCCAAGGACAGTTCACAGCTGCCACTAAGGCAACAAGCTCTGCTCCTGCCCTCTGACAGGATGAAGAGACAAACTAATAAAATGAGCAAAAAGCAAACTAGCTGGAATTAGAACCTCCCCACAATTCTCCTACAGTTGTTTGGTGAAAATCAAAGGCTTCTTTTAAAGAATTCATTTACCTTCTCTAAAAAAAAAAATCAACATTTGAAAAAGAAAATATGTCCATCTTCACACAGCTTAACCTGTCATATTTATTATGTTTTTTAACATTTTGCATGTGAAAGCAAATCTAGTGGGTAAAATATCCTTCCAGCTTCAAATTTTTATCTTTTTCAGATCAGCACAGATTATAATTTACCATCCAAATTCCGCATGAAGAGGTTATGTCCTGGCCTTGGTTCACTTCTTAACGAACCAGCATATATATGTCACAAAAAAACAACAACAACAAAAACACCACAAAACAAAACAAAAAAAACCACAAGCACAAATTTATCCATACAATGAGTTCCGGCCAGATTTCCATTTCATGCATGATATTACACTCATAACAGGAGAATAAAATGATCCTTTCAGGAAGGAGTTAATATTCAAGTACAGCTCCAGAATTCTGCAACCAAATGTGGAAAACTTGATGCAACCCTTAGTCCTGTCCACAGCAATTTGATCTCCCTGGTCACATTTCTACTGACCTGACCTGGGAGATCCACTCCATACACCTGAGGTTTTCCCTCAGTCCTCCTGATCTGGTGTCCTTCCAGTACTTCCATCCTCCTTTCCCCTTTGTGTGGGTTATGAGAAGTTCAAAATACTGGTCCCCTCTTCAGCATCCTTATTGTTATCACCCCTCCCAGTTATGATGGTGGTGGTGAGCTACTGGGCACAGCAGCAAACAAGTAAATGCAATTCTCAAGGGACATTCCTCAATCACAAGTACAACTCTGCTTCAGCTTGTTTCCACCTCCCTCCAGCAGTTCACCCACACCTTCCAGGTGCTAACATCACACCTGGCCAAGCTGGGGCATTCCAACTTAAGTTGCAGATGCTTTGTACTTGCAGTGGTTTAGTCGTAGTAGTGTTTCATAGATCCTGCACTATGAACCAACAACCTCCTGCAGCAGCAAATGAGAACGGCTCAGGAGGAAGTAGAAAAAAAAGGGTTTTCTACAACAGCTTTCCCAGAAATAGCCTCTCAAACTATCACTACCTGTAAATTAACTTTTAAGAAGAAAATATAATCAAATGGGCCATGAAGAAACCCCACAACTTTCACTTCCCTAATAATTAATGTTTCACAGCATCTCATCACTGCACAAGTCTTCTAGCCAAAGCATACTTAAAAATATCCCAACACCAGCCTCAAAACTGCACTCAGCTCCTGCACCAAGGCAGCAAGTTATCCTCTGTTGTCATGAAACCAAAGATATCATTTTCTCTTGCACAACTTCCTTTCCACTTCTCCAAACCCCTATGCCTTCTAGAGCACTGACTGTCCCCTGCAATTCAGGATATCCAGCCATGCTATGCACATACTGAATGTTGTGGAATTAAAAATATCTGCAGCTGAGATGCCTGGATGCAAATAATTTAAAACAAAGTTCATAAAAGCCACAGCTGCAGAAGGGCAAGAAAACACCCAACACGTTTGGCAATTAACATGTAAATATGTCACATCTGACCCCTCTTTGCTGCTCAGTAGAAAGACAGTCTTGATGACACAAGTCCCAGAGAAGAGCCATGTCTGATGGTTTCTTCCTATATGGCACTTGAGTGCCAATTAAGAACATCAACACAGTAACCATCAAAACATCACTTAAGGTCAAATTACTATTTATACAGTACTCAAAACTCAAAATTAGCTTTGACCGAAACTACCAACAACTCGAAAATGTTAGACGAGTGAAAGGCATTTGTGCAAACCTTTGTTAGCAGAAGAACAACTCTGAGAAGAACTGATTATTCCCATCAGTTTTAAAGGGAAAATACTCAAAACTCTCCATAGTAAATATAAAAAGAGTAATTTTGCTTTTTCAGTAAGATGAACAGAAAAAGTTGTCAAATTTAAAGTAAGCAAGTGTAAAGAAGTGTTTATAGCACTGGACAAATTTCCCCTTAGATGTAACAAATGAAAGTATGACACTAAGATACATTAGATAGTTCTGTTTTACAAAGAATTAATTTCATTTCAAAAGAGGCAGGAATATCTAAATTATCCTTGACTATACTTTACACAAGTGTTATACCAAGAAATCCTTGCAAGTTAGTTATGTCAGAAAAGCATAAAGAAGCAGAGCACAGCATCTCTGTAACATTTGTGTAGTTTAAATGGGAAAATATCTGCAACTAAGCAGACTGAATTTCAGATGTTACAAGTGGAATAGCACACTAAGTGCTTTGCAACTCCACTTTAAGTAACTAATAAACGGGTCCATATTCAATATTACATCTAGAACACTTGCAGAGAAAACAGGAAAAATATGGAAGGTGCAAACAAGAACTTCAATTTAAAACTGGGACAGAAATACAGACCAAATAATAAAGGTTAAGCAGAAGGTCTGAGAAGCAATCTCTCTCAGAGGACAACTACCGCAAATCAGTCTCAGAGCAATGAGACAGAGGTCCCAGATAAAAGGATCATATGTAGAGAGATTATGACTAACCCAAAGACACAACAGTGCTGCAGCCCTGAGAGCACCTACCTTACAGCTTTCCCATTTCTCAGGTATTTATTGTTGACAAATGGGCAGCCTGGTCAGGAAAATAAACAAGTTGAAGGCAAATCTCATTTCAGATACCTTTTAGCTGGACACATTCCCTGCCTGTCCCTTTGCACAGTCACAAAAAAGGCAGTGCCAGCAGTGGAGAGTCCAAGGTAAGGCAGAGTTGCTCCTTTAAACAAAGCAGCTTAATCGAGGCTGACGCACCTAGGCAAGCACAGCCTGAGAATGCAGCTTTCCATGATAGCTGAGCCCACTGACTGACCCCACTTTCTCCTCTCTCATGACCTGATGTCTTCTGTAGGGGAAGGTTTAGGATTTTTCATGGTCTTGTATTTTCAGGAGTTCATCTCACTGAAGTAGGTACCCACAGCTACATAGCTAGTAAGAAAACTTAGTGCACTGCAGAAGTAGGAGGCAGACAGAACATATAGTGTACGGGTACAGGCCAAAAAACATGCTGTAGATAAAAAAACCAGAACCTAAAAAAATAACCATGATCACCTAGAATGCCCTCCCATTAAAAAAGAAATCATCCTGTTACAAATACAACTGATGTGCATTCTAACCATTTCAGTAACAATGAGCCTGCTGCATGATCACAGTAAAACCAAGCAAAGCAGAGAACTCACCTTCACAAAATTGTCAGGGAACATTCCCCTTTTGCCATTTAACTCCCCTTCTAACCATCCTTCTTCTTCCAGTTTTTTCACATTCCTGATGATTTCCCCAACTCGGATCGTTAACTCATCATCATGCACTGCATCATAGTCATATTCCACAATATAGTCCACTAAAAAAAAAGGGAAAAAAAAACCCACAGTGAATACAGCCCAGACTTGGAAATGCAACTTGAAAGCCACATGTGCAAAAGGCAAACCTAACAACAACTGCTAAGAACAAATGTTTGTTCCCCTTACAACAGCCCTCATTTGTGAATTGTAACATTCCCGACTATTTTGGAGCAGAGAAAAAAACTGCCCAGTTGCCTACTAGAATAAAGTAAATTTAGGAATATGACCCTGGGCCATATTTTGGTGGTGGTGGGTAGGTTTTTGTTCATGTGCGGTGGAAGGAATTGCTGGCTGTGGGTTTTTTCCCCCCCGCCAAGTCCTAGCTGAAGATTTACCAATAATGAATCACTGCCCACAGGGCAAGTGCTTGTTACTCAGTGCACATCTGGGGCCAAGGAGGGAGAAACATGCAGTGTTTGAACCTATTCTACATACATGTCATGCTTTGTTAATTCTCATACTTGAATCTGCTATTCTATCTGCACAGAACGATTGCTGCAGGTTTGATCCAAGAAATGCAATATAGCCAGAAGGTGCACGACTGACATCACACGACTAAAATTGCACAGACATGTAAAAAGCACTTTCCTTCAGTCATCTGGGTTTGTAAGATGAAGAATAAGCAAGTGAGCTTTAATTTTGATATAATTAAGTTTACTCAGAGGAGCAAAGCAGTGTATTCACATACTTGTCCATCTGTTGCACAAGATCCATCAGAGTTGCTTACTGACAGCTTAATGCTTGTCTGGCAATAAAGACTCATTTGTTCATCAAGAAATTCTGTTCATGCCAGAAATTTCCACAAACCTGCAGCAACCAAATAACCTTCCCTCTCACTCAAATCCCGTCAGATAACCAGGCACTGCTCTCCCCGAAGCTTCTCTCTCCTCTGCGAATCACAACAAACACACACAAAGGCAAGAGCTCAACAGGGTTAGAAGACAGAAATCCTGAATGGTTGTCAAAGGTTTTTTCCCAAGTTACTCTGTTTTTATCAGTGCATAATAAGATCCGATGATTAATTCACAAATGAAGGAATCAAATGGGAAACAGTATTATTTCCTGGGTATTGAACTTAGAGCTGCACTAAACCACTGTATAATTCTGATCTATGGGCAATTTTGATCAAAAGTGCAGCCACACACATGTTGCAAAGAAGCCTTTATCGCTCTGCTGCCTATGGACAAAGTCAGAAAATCCATAGTAAAAAAACAGAACTACATGATGGCACCACAAATGCAAGAGAATCTGCAACAATTTGGCAAATTATTTTCTGAACACACCCATTAACAAAGGAACCAGTCGAATATAAACATGAAGACTTAGCTTTGCTTTTTTTCCTTCAAGAAAAAAAATATTTTCTTCCTTTTGACTAAAAGTCATCACCAGAATTATCTGCTCAGGATACATACTCAGGAACTCCTAGCACACACTTTTTGCACCGTATACATTTATTTTTGCCAAACATATTCTCTCAGCTTGTTTCAATGCATCACAATCCCCCATTACTGCCTGCAGCAAGCAGAGGAGTTTGGTCTTGCTTCTGCACCAAATTGTCTTTTGAGTGGCTGACATGAAATACTGCCAAACATATAGGAAATTCTGGCAGCCACACATCATAAAGACAACAGCTATTCATCACCTACAGTCTGGAAATAAAAAGGTCATCTTCCAACCAACTTGACCCAACTATTTTGGAAACCTACAAATGCATAAAAACATAAATATCCATGTTGCCTATTTCTCTCATGATATACTCTGGTTTGAAGCACATTAGCAGGTACTATATTGCAATAGATACACTACAATTTTATGAAGTTAAACACAGAAAATGGATCAGAACAGTGTCAGTCATGATAAATACAACATTACAAACTGCGACTCACACTGCCAAACACCTGGTCCTTTTTCCACAGCAGCAGTAGATAATCATACCCACACTGTGTCAACATGAATTAATTCTTTTGAAAGCTTATTTACTCCTTTGGGAGAACACTTCTGTGTTTCTGTTTGAAATACACCATACATTCACTTTGGTCACCTTTCCAGACTGTAAAATACGGACTCGGTCATGCCCAGAACCAATGGAGGATCTGAAGATCCTCCCAGTCAGCATCCACATAACTCTGTGTTTCAAAGACAAACAGCAGTAAACAAACATCAGCTTTTTAGGTTTGAAATTTAGGTGCTAAGTTTCCTTTTGCATTTGTCAGTAATACTCAATGCCATCCTCACGGCCATATAGACAAGTCAGATGAAAATTCTGTTGCCTTGTCTCTAAAGTGGAAGGGATCATGGGGAATGTCAAGATAGTTTAATCCCATACATTTTAATTATGAGATGGCACAGAAACAGCAAGAAGCTTCACATCTCCCATCTTACTTCTACTACTACATGGACCTTAAGAAGAACAGTCATCAGCTTTGCTTTTCAGTACTAGCACGTAGCAATATTTGAATCATGCTGGTAATTCAGACTGCACTGTGATGGGCACAAAATCATTTACTGCAAAACCAGTCCAGATTAAATAACTCACTGAAACATCTTGAAGAATAGTATTTATCCAAGTAAAAACAGTGATGACAGAATACGTTTTTAAGGAATCACAACTCCTTATAATAACAATAATTAGGAGTTACGTTAATCCAGGGATTATACTCCTGAAGGGCTTGACGCAGCGCTGAATGCTTCTGAATGCTTCAAAAAGCTTTACTCAAGAACAGATATACTGCAATGAGTCACAGCAGTTAAGTTGGACTTCAGTAATATAAGTTGGACAAAACTTTTAAAACCCACAATTCTCAGCTGGTACAAGGTGCAGCAGAATACGACAGCAGCACAAACTACAAAACCCACCTATTTCACGTGGCTTTCTCAATTTCAAGCCCCGCTTAAATCCATTATCTGCAGTTTCAAAGTCTATAAGGATCAAGTCTTACATGAAAAATAGTCTTCTCAAGCTTCAGCATGCTTTTCATGCACATCCAGAAGCACCAAAGCTCACCTGGGAGGGAGACACCTTTCTCCTGAGTTTTCACTGGCAGCATGGGCCATCACATATCATCTCCTACACTGTGTGCAAAGAAGGTATCTTTATTGTACATCTCTGACAAACAAGTGGCAACCATGTTTTGGCAAGAATTCAAGTATAAGCATGAGAACACCTGGCACAGGCTTCCAATCAAGGGAAAAGGGAAGGACACAAAAAAGATGACAAGCCAAATCAGAGTCAGGTTGATGAGGGCATTCGAGAAAAATTGTGACAGACTAAGATCCGGCAGAACAGATTTAGAAACACAACTATATTCAGTGCCCTGGTAGCAGGTAAGGGGCTAGAATCTGTTCAGTGAAACATCAGAGGCAGCTGAGCCAGTGCCACTCAAGGGCACCAGGGTGGTTACAGTGAGAATCAGCTAACATATACAGAGTAGAAATCAGGCCTGACCAACCTGACAGCCTTCCATGATGAAAAGATTACTTCATTGGACAATGAGAAAGGGAATACTCTCCCATAACACCCTCATACACAAACTGATGGAGCACAGAGCAGATGAGTGTAAAGGGAAAGGGACTACAAACTGTCTGAAATGCCAGGCTCGCAGGACTGTGATCAATGACATGGTCCAGCTGGAGTAGCCACCAGTGATGTGTCCCAGGAGTCAATGCTAAGTTGTTCAGTACCTTTATTAATGACCTGGGTGACAGGATTGAATGTACCCTCAGCAAGCCTTCAGATGACACAGAATCATGAAGAGTGGCTGATGGACCAGGTGGATGTGCTGCTATTCAGAGGCAACACAACAGGCTGAGGAAATGGGTCCACAGTCACTTCAAGCCAAATCCTGCCCATAGAGAGGAACAACCCCAAAAAACAGTACAGGCTGTGGACTGCTTGGCTGGAGGGCAGCTTGGCAGATGAGGACCTGGGGGACACCAAGTTGACATGAACCAGCAATGTATACCTGTGGCAAAACCAGCATCTTGGGCTGCATTAGAAGGAGCACTACCAACAGGTCAAGGGAGTGGATTGCTCCCCCTCTGCTCAGCACTGGCAAGACCCATGTGGAGTACTGGGTGCTGTTCTCAGTGCCCCATCACATGACAGAAATCATAGAATCACAGAATCAGCCAGGTTGGAAAAGATCTCAAAGATCATCAAGTCCAACCCTACCATAAGTAGCTTCATACACAGCCTGCTTATTTCCTTCAAAGAAGCTCATTCAGAAGCCTTTGGCACTTTGCACAGACACAGAAAGAGCTACTGAAACTCAGGTGTGCTCAAAGGGATGGTATTTAAATGAACATACTGGAGTGATCCTAACAAAGAGCCATGAAGATCACAGAATTACTATGGTTCTGGATTATCTTCACACAAGGAAAGGCTGAAAGAGCTGGGAGAAGGCTCAGGGAGATCTTAGTGAACAGGGTGTGGAAAAGACAGAGTGATGCCCAGTGCAAGTACAAGAGGGAGTGGGACAAACGGAAACCAAATAAATTCCACTTAAACATATATAAACACACTCTACCATCTAGCTGTGACAACTTTCCAACATAAGTAGAGAACTTTCCAGATGGTGCTTTTTGAAGGTTCTGACCCATTTTCAGGGACAAAGGACTGATTAAATCAACAGAGCTTAGGAAAAAAATATACTGACTGGATATCTTTGGGGGAATGTGGTTATAGGAGGCTGTGTGGGAGAAGTCTGTGCACCTCCTTATTTCAAGATGACACCTTCACTAACGAAACAGTAAAACTGACCAAATGCTTCACAGCCAGTCAGCCCAGTCACCAACTACAGACTACATTATTCCCCACAAAAAGTGTCTTCTCTAACAGCACTGCCTCTCACTAAATAGCTCCCACTGTCAGCCAACATAGCAGCACTGCCTGCACAAGGCATTCAGTCACTGCTGGCACAGGTGGACTCTCCACTTCTCCAAAACTTACACAGCCAGCTCTTCTGCCAACCACATCCCAGTGCCAAAGCAGAAGGCAAGT